AGGCAAAGTGGCTGCGCTGGCGGACGGGGCAAATGTAGGGCATATACTTGCAAGTCAAGCAGCGGTGCACGTGAGGAGGAGGGGGAAGGCCCAGCGCGGGCGGGAGGGAGACAAAGGCCAGGCCCGCTCAGAGCGGGGCCAGGCCGCGGCGGCGGAGCAGCGCTGGGGCGTCGGGGCGGCAGCCGCGGGGCAGCCGGGGGTGGACACACACACACACACACACACACACTTGCTCCTTCGCCGCGCCGATGGGGTGCAAGCGACGGCCCGCCAACTGCCAAGGCGGGGTGGGACACCCTTCCAAAGCAATGTAGATAGACCATCCTGCGTGGGGCCGTGAACGAAGCAGTGAACCACCACGAAGAGACCGGACGTACGCAGGCAGCTGTATGCGGCCTAGCCGCGGAGAGAACGGCCGAGGCAAGAGGGCCATCTGCGAGGCGAAAGATCGCTGCAGCGGAGAGCCGGCAGGGTGGGAAGAAGCGATGATGAGAAGCACAGGTGCCCGGGACCCTTTGCGACGGGACCCGAGTTAGGGGAGCCGAGAACCTCGGGGATGGAGGGGGGTCTTTTTCCAGACGTGTCAAGCAAGGCCACCCGTACTAGCCAGGGAACTGCCTAGGCAACCTGGGGACCCAAGTAAGGCCACGAAGCCATGCTTACCAGCCTCGAACGTATGATTGACACGCCAAAAGGCGATGACAATCTTAGGGATTCGCCCTGAAAACATAAGGGAATCCCTAAGATTGGCATCGTGATGAGGAGGTGCCCAGCATAGGGATAGGGATATGTCCCAGGCTGGTAACATGCTGGCAGTAGGTTGAAGGATTGCATTATACACTGGGTGGGGCGCGGCGCACGAGCACGAGCGCACGAGGCCAAGGGGGGCAAGACTGGCCTCCCCTCGACTCCGCCTTTTGTTCGGGCCTCCCGGGTGGCCCTCGTCGCCACCGCCGGGTTCGCCTCGAACTTCGAGCCCGAGCGCACCCCGGCCGGGGGAGAGATCCCAGGAATAGCGGTATGATGAGTATATCATATCTCGATGGTTATGAGGTGACCGATCGTCCATAGTCCGGGGAGGGGGCCCTGTAGTTAGTCCAGGGGTGGGGGCCCTGTAGTCTGGGGGGGGGGTCCTGTGTAGTCCAGGAGGGGGGGGGGGGCCGTTGTAGTCAGGGGGGGGGGGGGGGGGGTAGTCGGGGGGGGGGGGCCTTGTAGGCGGGGGGGGGGGCCCTTGTAGTCCGGGGGGGGAGCCTTGTAGTCGGGGGGGGGGGGCCATGTAGTCCGGGGGGGTCCTGCATCCTGGGTGTGGGGGGGACCGTGTGCTCTTCGCGCGCGGGGCGACGTCCCGCTCGACGGCCGCGGGCATGCGCCCCAGTTGCAAGGGGCCAGGCAAAGTGGCCGCAGTTGTGCTCGCGTGGCCCGCCGTGGGCCCACGCAAAGGGCCCCATGCAAAGGGCGCATGGACATCTGCTGTTACAGTCAAAACGTATATTAAGGACGCGTGGTAAGGACGCAAGACCCTTGGAGGCTGAAGTTGGGATTTTTCTGGGCGGCGGCGACCAGTGAAAACGGCAAAGGACGGGCCACAGAGGCAAGGACGCAAGGGTATCCTAGATGAAGGCGCGCGTCCTTACAAGGCGCGTTGACTGTATGTTCTTCCCATCGCACGGAAGGACTCTATCCCAGAACTAATTCCGAGCATCCCGACAAGTATCGAAACGTTGTCTGCCCGACACGCTGGTGAGGTGCCGAACGAGTACCATCGCCTCCCAGGGCCCGACGCCTTTACACCATCCATTTGTTCGACCCTCGTGGTGCTCGAAAATATTTCTGGCGGTCCAGGCTAGCGGCCATAGTAGGCTGGAATATCATAACCTTCCCAAACATGCGACGTCCTGATGCTTTCCATACGGGGTCCCTGGAAGCCCCGACTCTTTCCCCAGGACCCGGTTTTCGTGCTGCGTCGTTCTCTGGCGGCCCCAAGGCCCGGCGAGGGCCCCCCGAGGCCGAAAATTGCCGGCAACCTCCCGCCCCGATGTTTCTGCACGGGAATGGCCAGCAGCATCCCGTCCGGATTTCTCTTCACGGCGCGATCGTGCCTGTGCCTGGCTTCCCCAATAGACCGCCAGCCCGCCCGCCGAGCCGGCAGGGCCCCGTGCTGCCGAGAGGGCGCACTCCTTGCGGCCCACGCTTGCGGCGCAGACGGGCTCTGGGAGGAACGCGAGGCCCGTCGGCCCTGCGCGCGCGGCAGCGGGCGTGGACTCCAGTCGGGCATGTCCCTCTGCATGAAGAGTGTTCGAAAACAGTCTGACAACACTCTGGGATTATGTTTTGACTCCTGTGTGTTATGCTCGAGCATGCTTTGAATATGTTTTATGTTTCGTCCACGATCCGCTTGCAGGAGGACATGCCCGACCCAAGCGTGGACGCGGGATCCACCCGTGGGAGATCGACCACGGCACGCCGCCTGGTGGCGGCGAGCGGAGGGTTAGGTCGGGCCTTTCCCCCTACAGGGTGACTTCGAAAGAACAGTTAAACTGATCTATGTTTTAAGCAAGACAATTATTTAAAACATACTCCCCGACTATTTCTGACTCTTCTTGAATAGTCCTCCTGTAGAGGGACACGCCCGCCTTAAGCGAAAGGGGGATATCTGAAGGAGAGGGCCTTCTCGGAAGGCGGCGGGGCGTCTCAGAAGCCCTCGCGCGCCTTCTTGGAGACTTTCTGTGTCCTCCGGGGGGGGGCTTAGAGAAAGCTTCTTCGAAGGCTGGGGGGACCTCCGAGCCTTCTGAGGAGGCCCGCCCCTTCTCACCTCGCCCCCTCACTCGCCGCCGAGCCTGAAGTCAAAATGTTTGAGCCAAAAGGGCGACGGAAAATCCGAAGCACACGCGCACACCCACACACACACACGCACACACACACACACACACACACGTACACACAAGCACGACTCCCCACGATTTGAACGAGTTCCTCTCCATCCGTTCCGATGTCGAGTTTCAGATGAGAGCTGCCACCAGCAATCGTGTGATGCCTCACTTTGCGGGGCCATGTTGCGCGAGCGATGCTGGAAGACCCCGTCCACCTGACGCCGCACACCTTACTTGGTCCCAATTCCCTGGGCGGTGTTGAGTGCCCCCTGGGCCTTATTGGGCCCCGGAAACGGCAGGGCCGTTGTTCCACCGTTTTCGAGAAACTGTTACTGGACAACGGAAGCAAGATAAACAACAAAAAACACGGTTACCGGAAACGGCAAAATAACGGTTCCGCGATTGGAGCCGGAACCAGAAACGGAAAAAATAAAAAAAAGACGGCGACGGAACCGGAACCGGTATAAAAGACGGCCCTGTCGTTTCCAGGGCCCACCGAGCGCGGGGCTACCTCCAGTGTGCCCGGGGGGCGCGGCGGCTGGTGCGTGCTCTGGCCGCACGTGCCCCCGCAAGGGCGGCCGGTGGCCCTGGAGGAGCGCCGCGCGGCGCGCGGAGGCTCGCGTCGGCCTCTGTGCCGCACGTCGCTCGTCCGCGGCCCCGTGGCAGGCGGGCAGCGCTCGCAGTGGCCGAACACGCGTGTCCTTCCGCGGCCGAGTGGCCGCACTGCAGCGGCGGCTGCGGCGGGGCGCGCTCGGCGTCGGCTCAGCCTGGCGTGGCAGAGGGGGGGCTGCGCTGGGCGGGTCGCGCAGGAGCCGCTGCGCGAGGCGGGTGCGCGAGGAGTGGAAGGCAGATGGCCAACGGACCAAACACACACGCACACACAGACAGAGACTCAGAGACACAGAGACACAGGGTCACAGGGACATAGATAAACAGAGACACAAGAACACACAGACACGCACACACACAGACACAGACACAGACACAGACACAGACACACGCACACACATAAACGCACACACACACACGCACGCACACACACACACAGACACTTTTTTATATTAAAAAAATCGGCGGCGTAGAGAAACCTCAGGCGCGGCCAGCAGACAAAAAGTGCCAATTGCGAACGGATGTGGTCGAACGCGCCGCGGTGAAAGAATCCAGCCACGGCTGTGCAGATTTGTGGTCCACACGCATACACACACACGCGCACTCACTTGTTTCCCCGACGCGCCAATGACACCAATTCGGGGAGAGCAGGTCCGGCGGACACGCACAGGCCGAATGCAGTCTCCGATCACTTCGTGAGGCAAAACAGCAGAGACGCCAACCAGCCGAGTGGACTCCCACAACTCGCGCGAAAGAGCTGGCCGGCGCGAGACAGATCGAGAACTGCGGGGGCAGCCGCCAACCACGTACTCATTATTTCAAGTCGTCGTCGCAGAGGAACCTCAGGCGCGGTCGGCAGGTGGAGGTGCCAATTGCGACCGAGCGTAGTCGGACGCGCCATTATGAAAAAGGCCCAGTCACGGCAGGCACGCACACACACAAACACTTGTTTGGCGTCGCGGCCCCGCGCGCAGCGACAGGGCGCACGCAGAAGCACACCCAAACGACCCCCACACACACACAGGCACACACACACATTTACTCACACATTGTCACACACACACACACACACTGTCACACACACACACACACACACGCGCGCGCACACACACACGCGCACACACACACACACACTTTTTTGCTCGGCGGGCGATCGCTCCGCGACGCGATGGTCTCAGCGTTTGGGGAACAGCGGGTCCGATTATGTGGGCGGCCGGTGCGGCTGGGGCGGACGCAGCGAGCAGCGGCGGGTGAGGGAGGGAGGACACGGCCGAACACACGCACACCCACACACAGACACAGACACACACACACACACGCACACACGCACACACGCACACACACACGCACACACACACACACACTCACACACACACACGCACACGCACACACACAAGCACACACACACACACACGCTCGCACACACACAAACACACACACACGCACACACACACATGCACCTGCACGTGCACTTGTCATCCGACGCAGCGACGAGATGGCAGCCGCGGGTGCATCTAGAGCGGGCCACGCCACAAGAAACGGATGTGCTGTGAAGCACGCATGCACACACAAACACACATCACACGAACACGCACAGCGGCATACTGGCGGTGTTTTCGTCACCCCGCTCGGGGAGCAAAGCGCACGAGGGGCAACTACTGTTCGGCGGAAGTCTTGCTGTCAAACGAGAGGCCACCCAGGTGGCAACCTAGACTGCCAAGGCTCGCTGCCCAATCCACAGACTCGGCTGCCAAACTAAGCAGCCCGACGTCAGACTGCTGCCGAGTGCAGGTGCAAAACCCCCGATCGAAAATCAAGGCAACCGTCAGCGGCCACCTCAGCGCAAGAAACGCGCCGTGCCGAAGAAATGCTCTTTGTGGGCAGTGCGCGGCGATGCTCCACCACGCATGCCGTCCCGCCGACGCCACTGGCAGGCCGCAGCCGAGCGCAGCCCCCCCCGGGAGCGGCAGCTCAGCGCTGAATGAACTGCATGGAGCTGATGGCCCCGAGGAAGAAGACGGTCGGCACCTGGGATGGGGCTCGATGTAAAGACACCACTTCGTCTCATCGACCGAGGAGCTCGGTGTATCTACAAATGCGCAGATTCGTTAGCGTCCCCATTCTCCGAACCGCGGGACGCTGAGATCCTTCGCCGGACGCCTCGGATCCCCAGCCGACCAGACGACACGGCGCACACATCGAGAGCCCCTCCCGGCACCGCCAGCATGTGCACCGCCAGCCAGCGGAAGGTGAAGATGGGGTAGGCCACGGGGGTCCGCGCCGCCGCGATCTGCGGCTTCGGCTCCGCCCGGCGGGCCGTCCTGGATCGGCGATATAAAAGGAGCCCTGCCCTCTTGAGAGGGGGCCCAAGTTGTAAGAGGGCCAAGA